CCCTTTTAGCAAAAAGAAGAGCAGCTCGTGCAGAGAGTCAGTACCCGCATTGACTGTCGCTGTCAAACATCATCGACAAGTGTCCGCCAATAAACGTCTCAACAATATATATATATATATATATATATATATATATTGTTACGTCTACGAGGGGTTTATTCGAAGCAGGCGTGACGGTCGACTCGACGGTATACCAGAGTGAACGCGCAGCAGCGAGCTCTAGCCATCAACCGAACGTCCTCTTCTTCTGCTACCACCATGTTTCCCGCTACACAGGTGCACATACCTAAATTACACATGTGGTAACATTTCCCTCCGCGCAGACGAAGCCCACTGGGCGAGTTAAACAGTCTCTCGAGGAATAAAGCGCTTGAAACGTGCAACAGGGACAAGTTCAGTTTTTTGCAGACCGTCGGCCGTTTGAATGGAGACGCGCTATGCGGTAAACTAAATCACTGATACGGTCTACAACAAGATAAGGTCCCGCACAGTGCGCTAGCAGTTTCTCGCTCAAACCGCGTTTTCTAGTTGGTGTCCACAGCAACACTAGGTCGCCGCGATTGTACGTCACGTGCCGGCGTCGGCAGTCAAAATGTGCCTTCGAGCGGTCTTGCGAAGCAAGAGTGCGCAAATAAGCAAGGCGTCTAGCTTCTTCTGCCCGACAGATGATCTCGGATATGCAGGGATCATGGTGGTGCAACACGGGAAGATAATATTCAGGGTATGACGAGGTGGTCGAGCATATAGAAGAAAGAAAGGACTGTAGCCGGTAGTTTCATGCTGAGCGGCGTTGAATGCATATGTGATAAAGGGTAGAATACTGTCCCAGTCCTTGTGATCGGATGCAACATACATAGACAGCATGTTCGAGAGAGTTCTGTTCTTTCAGTTAGACCGTTCGTTCGGGGATGGTATGGCGTAGAGTGCCGAAACCTTGAAGCACAGACAAGAAGCATCTCTTCCATCGCGTCTGCTGTGAATTGTCGGCCACGGTCGCTGATTACGATTTTGGGAGGTCCATGTCGAAGAATTACAAAACGTAGCATGAAGGAAGACACATCGGCTGCAGTTGCCGATGGTATGGCAGCTGTCTCGCAGTACCGTGTTAAATGGTCGGTGCAAACGACTATCCAGCGATGTCCATCAGAAGACCGGGGAAAGGGTCCAAGGAGGTCGATCCCTGCCTATCAGAAAATTGTAAACGCCTTCCGCTATGCCTTTAAATAGGTGTCCGACCCTGTCTTCTTCAGACATCTGCGGGTTTATAATCTTGCAAAGCTTAAGAACGTCCTCTATATAAGCAGTGCAGGTTTCTCCAGGAGTCTGGGCTCTTCCAGCAAGAGTCCGCTCCGCGATTTTCTTTTTTGAAGCGGAGTGACCAAAACACTTCTTGAGTTCTTGAGCAATAAGAGCCCATGTTGTCAAGGACTCTTCGTGGTTTTCATACCACATCAGGGCAGCGTCCGTGAGAAACAGCGCGACGTTTTCCAGCTGATCGATAGAGTTCCAGTGGTTGTACCAGCTCACCCTTTTGTAGTGCGTTAGCCACGCGTCCACATCTTCTCCTGCCATTCCTGCAAACGGGCGGGGTTCCATGTAGTGATGCCTAGGTGTAGCCAGTGTAGATTGGCGCAAAGTGAGGGCGGTTGATTGCTGACCTTCGCTCTGGGCCATGACGACTGTTGTCGGCGGCAGACCAGCAAGACGACGGCTCTGGCGAACTCCGAACAGCTGTGGCTCCGTAATACGTCGACATGTCGAACCCAGCACCTCCACCACTCTGTTACGTCTACGAGGGGTTTATTCGAAGCAGACGTAATGGTCGACTCGACGGTATAACGCAGTGAAAGCGCAGCAGTGAGCTCTTGCCACCAACCGAACGTCGTCTTCTTCTGCTACCATCATGTTTTCCGCTACACAGGTGCACATACCTTAACTACACATGTGATAACAATATATATATATATATATATATATATATATATATTATATATATATATATATATAAACCCTTTATAAGAGGCATGTTGCGGGTAGAAATTCTAGTCTTTTATATGAGATGTCTCTTATACGCAGGATACCTTGCATGCATTTCCTTATCAACCCGTATTTTACTCTGGGCACACTGTTGTTTCTTGTACCCATTTGTCTCTTATATCAATGCCTCTTATAAAGTGTTTCGACTGTATATATTTTTTAATTTAAACAAGGCCTGCGCAAATGGCTTATTTTTTACATTAAAAGAAATAGAAACAACTTTGAATAATAGCAGGTTTCAACTTTTGATAGAATGCAAGTGATAGCCTGTAAAATATGTCATGTTTCAAAATTTGCTATAAATAGAGCACACAAGTCAGTACGACGAGCTTTTAAGCTGAAAAAAAATAAACCGATGTGAGGGTAATATCGTCATTTAACCTCAAAGTGGGACTTCACGCAGTGCAAATTTCTCCTGGCATATGAGTTTTCATGGCTCAGGCAACATTTCACTGCAGTGAAAACACTTTTACAGGAATAAACATTCTTTCGAAACAAACATAGTTGAAAGTTAGTGCCTCTGTGTGTCATGTCTTTCACTGTCCGTGTTTGTCCGTGCGCTAAGAAACTATAGTACGGATATACCGAGACATCAAAAACGCCAGTTGTTTTTACAGGAAGTTACAGTTATTTTTACAGGGGGTTAAATACATGCACACTGATATGCATCCATTTGTTCTGTATCTAATAATTCAAAATTTTAAATAACTTAAATTCAACTCGATGAGAATTTAAATACTGCATTATTGTTCAATATCTGCACAAGCCTAGTCATTGTATCAATTTTCTGAAGGCAGATAGTAGGATCAATGCAACATGACACTTGCAGCAATCCCATATTCGCCAGAACGCAAAAAGGTAAACAAGTTAAAGTAGACGGTAACATAGCGTACTGCAAGTTTAATCCTTATTATGAGCACTGTATGTACTAGATAAGATGTTCTTTTTCCAGAGGTGAAAGGACTACTTTCTTCAGAAGAGGTGCTTTACCTCCATAGATTTCCCATTGTTACTGCATCAGAAAGCTGCCCGAAATGCTGGTTTGAACCCTCTGGAAAAACAATCACGGACTCGTGTTCTGGCCAGCAGTCCGTGGAGCTAACTAGAGCTACGTAACGTGCTGAAGTCACCAATGGCTGCATCTATGACCGTGATAGTGAACATGCGCCAGTGCATCAATAGCATCCTTACTAGGGCTACGGACAGGAACAAGCTCTGTGGATCTTGCACACGCATTGCTAGAAGCTAGTGCAGCAGCTGCTTGGGTGTACAAAACACGCCCACCCAAAGAGTGCTGGGGATAGGCATGGCCATAGAAGAAGCCGACAGACTCAATCTAATCGCAACGCAAGATGGCATTCAGTCGTGCCCATGTCTGCAGTAAGCAGCAGTCAGCTGCTCCACTATGCGTATTTAAAAAGAACAATCCACTCTGGAACACTTTATCAAAGGATATTGTGCTAAACCAGATGCATATCCTTATAACTTCGTACGTTGTACCTTTGTAATGTGCATAGTGGTACTAGGCACCAATGCAGAAAGCACCGAAGAAGATTCTGTACAATACTAAATTCATCACTGCTGGCCAATGTCATCATTGATGCAATTCACCATCTTGTCCCACAGTTCATTTTACTGATCAGTGTAGAAAATGTAGACCAATTATCAATGCACATCAATTAGAGCTCAAAGCTGAATTAATATTTTACTGACTGATACAACAAAACAGTTGTAGCTCCAGAGGGCACAATTAGGGTCTACTAGGACAGGAGAGTGCTTGAAATGAGCTTAAAAAACTGACGGCCACGCGTGGTCAAGCTGGTTATGGCACTGCGGTGTTTAGCCTGCAGTGAGTGATTTTAGGAACTGTGCGTGGCTCCACCAAAGTGGCGCAGAGGTATAATGCCGACTTCCGACTTACTGTGTCCGAAGTGTAGCTGTAGATGATTAATATTTACTTTCGGTGTGACTTGTAACAGCTGTATCAGTTTTTTTTTTATTTATTTTTGCTATTTTCAAAGGCTTGCTTCAGTTGCTACATATCACTACCAAAATGAATGCTGTTTTTCTACTGATCGAATGTCAACTACTTTCAGTTTTGCTTTAGCAGCGAGCCAGCGGCTGGCAAGCAAGAGCAGCATATTGAACAAATGCAGGCCAAGCTTCGTACGGGCAAAAATCTCAGGGGTCACCCTTTTCAGTCATGTTTTTCTTGAATCTCATGTGGTGCTACTGCTGAATTTCACACTCACTGTCAAACGCATTCTACTTTCCTTCGCATTTCATGCTACTTCTTGTTAAAATGCGTAGCAAGTGAAACTAGTTTTAAGAAACAAAATAACAGAAAACGAATGCAGTATCAAATTGCGCTAAAAGTTAAAAGCCACCATTTACAGCTGCAACTTGAACCCGGCCTTTTAAAGGTGAAATGGGCATTCTACTTCTGCGCCACTATGGTCAAGCCACGCCAAACTCTTAGACACATTACAGGCTACCGACCGCAGAGCCGTAAGTATCTTGACCTTCTTTTGGCTTCCCTTTCTGTGCGTGGGTGCTGTGGCCATTCTGAGCACTCCCGCTGTTCTAGTACAATCTACACTACGCAATAAGAACTGCATAGCGGGTTCCCGCATAGCAGAATGAGTACTTAGACACACAGGAGCACTTAGTAGCTACTCCTCTGTTGGGGAGTATAATTCTCTACGTTGAAAAGAGGTTGGCTACCTTCTCTTAGTGCCTTGCTTAGCACTATGCAACCAATGCTAACTGCTTGTGTAATCGCAGCCCTCGTCACACTTGCCTCATTCTGGGAACGACAGCAGAAAGCAGCGATGACAACAAAATAACCTGCCGTCGTCTCCATAACACCACAATTACCGACTCAGTGAAAGAAGCCACGACGTTTATCAAATTTTCCACCACTTTCAACTTCTGCAAGAGGCGCACTGCAGCCGTACACTCACTTCGCAAACTCTGCCAGCTGCTTGGGGTCACTCAGGTCCACGCCGGGAATGCCGCCTGGTGCTATCTTCTTTCCAGTCATGTACTCTGTGTAATCGGGGTCCTGGCTCGGGTGTCGACTCCTCTGCAGCTGACACAAAAGGGCCACTCAAACACGTACACTTGTGCTCAGCATAGCCGTAAAAATGAAATTTCGAAAGAAATTAAAAAACAGGCGTGCTGAACACTTCGGTCTTCAAAACAAGATTTCAACGTACGCGTTTTGCAAGCATAAAGCTGATAAGAAAACATATACAAGAGTCCTTGAATACATTTACTGGTCATGAAGCCTCATTGTGACTTTATGGTGAGCTTTGTTAGCTGCAAGTGGAGGGGCAGGGTGGCGCTGCACCCAGTCTGTTTGCACCAGGCAGACGGCTGCTGGTGTCAGTGCGAAACATGGCAACAAGTCCACTCACAGTTTTCAGCTCATGTCCTGTATTGTGCCTGATGGTCGAAAAGGATGCCGCGTACTTGCTGCACGCCCAGGTATCAATCAGCATACAAGGCAAATGCCGAAAAAGTGTCGATGTCCTTGTGGCCGAGAGATGGCAACCGGCGAGAAAAGTGGACGTTGCATACCTTGGCAAGAAAGGGGTGGTTTCACATTTCACTTTCCTGCATGTGCCTGCATGTGCCTGCCTGCGAAAAGCACTTCGACGAAAGCAACGGTGTTTGTGCGCACTATTGGCCAGTCAGAGGTGCGGACGTGACACCGCAGTGCGATGCTCCAAAACTTTTTGCAGGTGCTGTGCCGATGATTAACGACAGCCTCCTGGTGTACATACTTGTCTAGTGCAATAATGTCTGGAGCTTGCCCGCATACACAGCAAAATTGTAAAATATGCACACAAGGTATGTACTGCGCACGGGCAAATGTCTGAACTAAATTTAGAAAACATTTGGCAGTGGTCATATAGGGTTGGAATTTGGTGGGGCAATCATCGATTCCTGACTGTCTTCCAGAACGAGCCTGATTCTGACATGCCAACTATAACGATGACAACTGATTAAGATCTAGGCACTTAATATGCTGGAAATATTCGAAAAATTGCTTTGTGAAACTTGTAACTGAAGAGCAAAACAAGCTCACGGGGTCGGTCTCTCAGGCACTCGCCTAAGACAACGTAAAGCTATCATATCCTCCTCTTCCTCCAGTCGATGTACTGATGTCCCTCCCATGCCCTCCAAAAGATGTCTGCACCTTAAGGTAATTTTGCACTGGGTCTAGGGCAGGTATATTGCACGCTTCAGCATTGCCTCCGTGATCGTTGGCCGATCACAGAGGCAATGCAAAAGGGCAATGTTATGTGATGGCCTCATCGTGTGACGTCACAAATTTTGACAATCCGTGACGTCATCATTTCAATGGTTTTTTTGCATCCATCGTGTTGACGTCCTCGAAGAGGGATGCTGACGATCAATTTTTGCATTTGATGATTAATTTGAGGCTTTCACCTTAAAGGTATACTGACACAAAAGTTTTGTCCTCGTATTGTTTTGCTGCAATGTATTCCTGAGAGCCTGTCAGTTGTAACACGACACATTGTTTTCTGCAGTGCACGACGAATAATTAACTACAGTCTTGTTATTACCGATAGGTGTCAGTTTCGGTTTCATAAACGACAAGCCACCGGGTACAACTGTTCCCACCTAGCGGGTGCAATGCTCGACCATGACAGCACACAGAACTACGACCCACTTCTGCGTAGTTCACATCAAGAAATTTTTTGCGAACAGGAAACGGGACAGCAATGTCATCCAACACAAAACTTTGAACCGGAGCGCCGCTGCCACCGACATTGTGAGCAGCTGCAGACCAATAGTGTGCTGGAGCAAATGTGACCAAAGAAAAATGGCGGCTATGATGTCGTCACAACTTGTGACAGTGTGGTCCCGTGAAAGAAGCAGGGGGTCCCCATAAGTTTCCTTTGGGGGTGTCAATAGCACGATGGAGTCGATCACTCATGCAAACTTCAAAATTAATTTAAAATACCTTCCAAGCTATATTGGCTGCTGATATTTCGCAGATAATATATGCATGTTCTCGGGAATCGATCCTATATACTATCTCGGTCGCGAAATTTTGTGCCAGTATCCTTTCAATAGTAATACAGAAGTACATTGAAAACAATGCAGCATTGCATGAGCAACCTAACCTTAAATGTGGCAGAGTACCATAGTAATAACAAATCAATTCAAACTAAAACACAAAAACCAAGGAAAAGCTGTATGAAGTATTCCTTGACTTTCGTCAATTGCTTAATTCTAAAGCAATAGTTTATTCAAGCTGAAGCTGACTGTTGGTTCGATAAATTTGAGGCTATTTTAAGATATCATCATTATCACAAATAAGGTGTAGGTATGGCCTGAAATATTTGAATCTGTTGTCAAGAGCTGTGACCACTGCTGTTCCACGACACATTAATATCAGCCAGAGTCCTTCAAGGACTGTGTATCATCAACACATTGCAACTAGATGCTTTAGGGAAATGGAAGGACTTAGAAGTGTTCTTTTATAGCAGTAGTACATCGCACAGTGGAAGCAGCATGCATTTGTCGCCATCGAGCTTCCAACTCCTTGGCCTCAATCGAGGCTAAATTGTACTGTATTAGAGTACCCAGAATTTTCTTGAAGGAAATATGACTCTGAAGGTACATTTACAGGTGTAAATTCTAATTTTGCAATCCAACGGGTCCTGTAGAACTGTACCGCAGGTGCCCACACATGGGCTAGGGCACACCTCTAGTGGCAGCTCCTGTCCCTAAATCAAACTTTTGCGGAAGTTTCATGACCAGTAAAAGTATTCAACTCTGCCTAAACTTATTTCTTGAAAAAAAAAAAATGTTTTGCAGTGGACTACTAATTCGTTCCATACTAGAATTTAAGCCCCAAGCCCAATGGCACATGTTGGAAACTGTCGATGTGATGGTTTCCACTGCCTAAAAAATACAGCATTTAAAGCACCGAATCCAGTTTGACATAATTAGCTATTGTTCACTGCTATCAAAGCCTTAGAAAAAACAATAAAGCACCAAGAATTCTTTTGCAGTATTTGGATAGGCTCTAATAACACTGCATTTCTACATAGCGGGCCTACGAGCAGCCTGCTTTCAGCAGGAGAATGCGAATACGAATTCCCACACAATCCTTTTTCTTCAATGTATGAACACGTAATAATTCTGCGCGCTCTGCCTTGTCATCTTTCATGCCAACCCAACTGCAGTACTTTTCTCTGCACTTCTACACAGTATAACTACTATAAAACAGAAATTACGCAATACACTCAAACCTCTTTATAACAAAGTTGCATCTTACAAAAAAAATAGATTCGTTATATCTAAAAATGTGTTACAAAGGCTATTTCAAACACTGTATCTATTGCAAGACTATTTTTCACTTACATTGTTATAAACAATATTTCATTATATCCATGTTCTTTATATCGAGGTTTAGAGTATTAGGAAAATAGCATTGCATATTTTCCCAAGAAAGCTCTGCTGCTGTTTACAATGACCGCTGCTCTGAAAATATCAGTGCCACTCGACTGGTCCCAACACATGTCAACTAATTGTTCTGTTTTTTTTTTTAGACATGTGTACGTTCATTTTTTATTTGTATTTTTATGCACACGCAGGCACACACAGATGTATACACCTTGACAAATATTGTCTATTGGGCTCTGCAAAAATCTCTTTCAGAGTCGATGAGCACCTCAAACTTTATTTGCAAGCTGTAGCCATAATGCCTCAAGCATCACCTCCGCAACTGATACCGTTTCTTTTCTAAACCCTCAGCATTAGTAGGTAAAGTTACCAAAATTGTACAATATGTTAGCAGGGCTACGGAAGTAATCTCTAGGAATTTATTACCGCAAATAGAGGATTACAAAAAGTGTGCACAGCATGTTAATTTTGGAAGATGTATATAATATGAGCCTTTTTTTTTTTCAAGCACTGAGTTACAGCTTGCCAAACACACTAAATAAATTCAAAATTACCTCTGAAAATGCACGTACTCTTCTAATATTGCTATTTTGAGCATACTTTATTGAATATATCCATTGTAAGGTTTCTCTCTTGGTATAAAAGCTCTTGTATCATTTTTTTTCAGGGTACTGCATGTTTGTTTCTATTAGGGAGTTTTAGTACTGCGTACGCTGCGTATGTGGCGGCGTTGCGTACGTAAGGACGCCACGTTCTGCGTAGTGCGCATGCGCAGACCGCAACGCGCACGTATCGCGTTACGTACGCACGCATGAGATGCGTGCGTGCGTACGTATGAGCTGATCGCGCCGCTCTCGAACAAGTTCGCGACAGCGCGAAACTTCGTTTTGCAAAATGACGGCATCGAAGGCAAGCACCGACGGGCTCTGTGGCTTAAAATATGGCCATAATCCCGCTATAACACTTGGATTGGCTCACATTGGCTGTCAACAACACGTGCTTCTATTTTGATCTACCAGATGACGCAACACGCCTCACGCACGTTACGTACGCGGGTACTACGGCGTACTAAAAGCCGATTAGTGGCAAACGACACCACGTAACGCAAGGCGCTTGCGTGATGCGTACGTAGCACCATTCAGCAGTACTAAAACTCTCTATTGTCTTGAGATGTATTTTGTTCTTCCTGTCCTGTTGACGCGATGCATCTGGGAATACGAGGATTGTCATGCTGTTTTAATGCAGCTTCTTTTCCCTGTTCTAACCACTTACTTCTGCAAAAACTGTATGCGGTAAATAAGGCGACAGTTGGCACGGGACGCTAGCATGCGCAGCGGGGGTGCCGAAGACACCGACCGGATTTGCGAGTAGTTTAGACTATAAAGTGATCCCCATTTAAAATCTGCCTTCTTCCGCTTCCGGCACGTTTGCAACGACTCGCACACTTCTCCAGTCGCTACGCGCGGCTTGCCGGGCATGACGCAATGTCTCACGACGCGAGGCGATTTCGAGAATTGTAATACCGTTCCGCGGTGACGCAATCTCGACGCAGAAAAACGCTTCTGGTGCGAAGCGCAGCCCGACTTGGCAAACGCTTCGAGCAATGTGCGCCTGCAAACGAAACGCGGCTCCCCGAGACAAAGTGTGCAACCCGAGACGCCCCAACGTATACAGTTAACAGAACGTGTCTGAGGAAGCCAATCAAGCCTTGTTTCAAAACGCCGCACAAAAAATACGCGGTAAACTCGAAGAAAGAAAAAAAAAGTACGGCGGCACGGAAAAACTACAGTCGCGAGCCGTTTCGGCGGCTAAACTCTTCTATTCACCGCTATTTGGGCTAAATGGTTGAATTCCATGTTAATAGTGGCTGCAACTCAAGCACGAAACTGCCGGAAGAAAAGCGTCGTACGGAAGGCGGGAAACGAAAAGCAAACAGTTGCCCATGTTGTCCCTTTTGTGTCGAAAGGCGTTCGTGTTGTCTGTCCCTCGTTGCCTTTCGTGCTTGCGCTGCAACTACAATATCAACATTTTATTGACCGCTATTCACCGATCGCTAAGCGCTACAACAGCGTAATCAAGCGCACGCTAGGCTTGAACGGCCCGCTTAACTCGTTCTCCCCTCTCGCAGTTAAAGCCGCGCGTTGCGTGATCTTTTGCGATTGTTTGCTTCGTAACTGTGCCGAAGCCGACCTTTTTTGTATTTTTTCTCCCCGCTCGCGCACTACTTAGCCACCGCGCCGGATATGTAGACGCACGAATCGCCTGAACAGGCGACGACAAGATCGCCACGAGACAAACACCGCGTTTTGTTTTCTTTATTTTTATCGACTGAGAGCAAACGGCGCGCAGACGACCACCGGTGCGCCGAGCGACACTGGGCCAGCTTGTTTCCACGGCAGCTCTCCCGCGACCTTGAACGATAAAAAACGCCCGCCCGGCTCGCACCCCGAACGCGTCCGGGCAACCTGGACGCGCCGGGTCGGCGTACAGTTACCGTCGTCGGACTCGAGTCGCGAAACGAACCCCCGCGGTCCGAAAACCGGGCGTTACGGCCAAAAAAGCGCCGCACTCGCGAGCTCCGTGCCATCCAAAGATGGCCGACCTCCGCCATACTCAAAAAGACGCCATATTGTCGCTTCGAGGAACATGGCGGCGCCCATGGAGGCTTTCATGGCCGGTTTTTCATTCAAAACACAGCCGCCGAAGCGTCCAAACTCGACACACGAGATCCAACGGGCACAGCGGAGGTCACCTGGACCCGCGCCGCGTGAAGAGCCACATTTGGCCGACGCAGTCGAGACGCGACAGGAGTTTTTTCAAGGCATACTCGGCGTTCTGCACGACGGGTCCGCGGTCGCATTCGCGACGATAAGCGTTTGTTTACGGCGCGCGGAGAGAAAAGAGGCAAACAATACAGTACGTGAGGCGTGCACCTACCGTCCTCCGTGCCCGAGGCCCACATGGTGACCGAGAATTCCCCTTCGAGCGTCTTGATCTGCACCTGTTTCTGTTCCCACTTGCGCGTACTGCGGTCCGTCTCAAACGTCAGTTCGCCGCCGAAGCTGCGTCCCTTGCCGCCGCGCTTGCCTTTCCTGCCACGTTTGCCCGACGTGCTGGGACTAGTCTCGATGAGCACTTCGGGCGTCGGCACCGGGATGTTGTCGTATCCCGCGAGCGCTTCGTGATCGGCGTCTATGCTTCCGACGATCTCCTCCTGGGTTTGCAGGATGATCTCTTCCCTTCCGGGCTCTGGCAGCGGCTGCAACGCGATCATGGGTTGACCTTCGACCGCTTCGACTGTCGTCACCACCGTTTCGACGGGCAACTCCACGGGAATCGCCTCGATTTCCACCTCCTGAATTTCGGGCTGAATCTCAACCTCGGTAACCACATCCGAGGACGCCATCTTGCCCATCTGCTAAGATGGAGGAAGAAACCACGTGATAGCGCTTGTTCACGTGACGTCACCAACTTTGAGTAACAAGTGTTAGGTTTATTTGTGCGTTTTTATTTGTGTGATTGCCCCGCTTGGTGCACCAACTTTAGCACTATATTGACAAAATTTCTCAAAAATCTTAGTTTGTCTTAACGTAAAAGTTAGTTCGCGAAGACTGCACTTTAAGTAGTAAAGCGATATGTAGATGACGAATTGCCGTGAAATTTGACGCGCCCTCTTGCGGCCGTTCGGGTGCACCACTCATTCTACGGCAGTAGCCGGTGGCGGCGTGTGGTCAGTCGTGCCCTGCGAACCGGAACCGTGTGAATCTTTCTCGCCATGGGTGCTCACGTATCGAGGACCGACTTCGAGTGGGTTTACAGCGACGAACCACATGCCACTCGCCGGAAAGTGATCCTCAGTAAGTGTCTAACTCGCTCCACCACCTCAATCCGATCATCGGATGCCACCGGTATTCCGCCGCGGTATCTCGGCGGGGATCGGTTGAATGGCCGGGCGTGTCAGGCAGTCAACCTCCTCCACGCCGGCGGCATCACCTGATCCCCTAAATTCTTCACGCTCGCCGCACCCCTATCCCTGCGTCACGAAAAAATGTGGGTCACACCGTTTTGTCTCCGTTGTCAACGCCGATTCACTCGCTAGTCAAAAAAGATCGCCGGCTGCCTTAGCAGTGACGGGTTGCCGTAGACGACGTACTACGGGGTTTTGGAAGAGGTTTTATTTTTATTCACCGGTGAGCCCCTTCCCGTCGACGTAGCGATTCTCGATCTTCACCCCGGGCTGCCGATTTCGCTGATCGGCGCCTCCTCAGGGAGCTGTGCGAGTTGTGTGTTTCCCTGGCGGTCTTGCTCGGGAGTGAATGGATTTGTCATGCGGCGCTTCACGCCTTTTTAGCCTAGATTCTACAGCGCTTGCCTTTTGAGAAGGCCGCATTGGACGATGACGGTGCGCGGCCACCAGCCGCTCCTGGTGCTAATTTATTTTACAAAGCGCAAATTACGTTGAATCGCCTGACTTAAGTAGCTGTCGCACGAAAAGCGGTATGTTTTAATCAGCGGGTCGCTGACGTGACATTATTGCGCATTCCGCGGTGCTTCCGGTGTTTAAATTTTATTGGTGTTCCCGTTACTGTCGCCGACGTCTTTTTGGTCGCTGATGTGCTAGATCAACTGTGGGTGGCGGAAGTTTCGGGTTTCGAAAAATAAATAAAACCAAGGCGTCTGCATACGCGTCATTTTAAGTAGGACAGAGGTTGACCTTGGAGGGAGCGTGGTGTGTTGTCTCTGCAATCGCTTAAACGCCGTAGCCGCCCATTGATTTGTATGTATGTATTCTCGGAGTCATTGCGTTCTTTTTGTCGCCGTTTTTGGAAGGTTATTGTAGCTTAGTAATCCACGCTCATGTTTTCTGAATTGAGAAATTGTGCGTAAACGTTTTCATACCTCAATCTTCTCTTCAAATAATCGAAGAAACATGGGAGCGTGTTAATGGCGGGGCACCACTTTCGATTGTTCTGGCGTGTTCTCTTAATCGTTTTTTTTTTTTTTGGTTTCGTTGAACGCCGCAGTTTGTGTGCCCGTGTAGACTTAAAAACGATCGCGGTGGTGTTCTCTGTTGACTGCATAGCGCTCGCGTTCTTTCGTTAAGGTTTGCCTTCTACGTATAGGTGCTCGGTTTGTCATGGATGTTTTTTTAGAGTACATATACCGCAGTGCTCTAAACTACAGCGGTGAGTTGTTGATGTTCGTTTCTCGTTGCCGATTTCCCTCGGCAACTGTCAGTGCGATAATGTCTCTTATCTCTTCTCACTTGGCTGAGACAATCATTTACCTATTTAACATTAATTAATTACTTGTCATGTTTCTGTACTGGGAACATTGCGTGAGCTTATGTGATCTCCGGCATCTTTTTTTTTTTTTCAAGCAAATTGTATCATTTTTCGATTAGCTGAATTTCAGTTGTGGATAGTCCATCGAACTAACTAGTTTTCGAATCACATTAGTGCGGTTTTATATTTAATATTGCTCATTTTATTTTTTCATTTTTATATGACAATACTCATCGGCAAGAAAGGGTGTGAAAAAAAATGCTTTAATTTACTGTCATGTGAATTCTGGTGCTTGATCGCGCCAGTGTGATAATGGTCGTGCCTCAACTACAGCGTACCTCATAATATCGTGGTTGTGCGACATAACTCTCAAACGAATGTTATTATTATTTAGTCGTGTGAAATTGTGCTCTTTCAGGCTATGTGAGGTCTAAATAAACATTAAACCCATAAAGTTCATCCGGCGTTACGAAATAACGCGGCATCTTTTAATGACGATCGTGGATCCACCATAGGTGTCACGAATTTGTCATTGCAAAAGTGAACTTCGGCCCAAACCTCCTTACCATTCGGTTATGAAGAATTTTTCTCTGACGAATATATTGTCTATATTTTATTTCTCGAACAGTCTGGTCCAAGCAGGGCTTGCAAACATCGCTTTTGTTGGGGAGGTCTTGGACGGTTCATGTTAGAACAGGACCCTGCGTTAGCTTTTAAGCTGACAATATTCATGTTTTTTTTTTTTTTACGCTCCTAAACAAGGAGCGTAAAACGGTCTGAAACGAGGAACCCCCCTCGGTATGTACAGAACGTAATTTTTACCCCAGCCAGAGAGATCTCTGCCGAATATGCTCACCTTTACACGTCGTACTGAGTCACTTTTTGGCTCAGTTCTGCAGATTGGTTGTATAATTTCGTGGAGTATAATTTTGAAAAACATGGAATATGTCCTGCTAATGGCTGGGGTACGTTTTTTTTTCCCCACTGACTTAAGCTAGAATGATTTCCTTGCACACTCCATCCCTAGCAATCTCCGCAAAGAGAGAGGGAAAAAAGTCGTGTTAAAAGTAAAAATTGTGAATCAGGGGTACCCTCGTCGGAAGACGCCGCTGCCGGAATCGAGCCCGTATTAAAAGACAGAATCTCCAGCTACACAGAACATACCAAGTATCATCGTGACTTGAGGCGTATTCTCCCTCCACTACACCCAAAATTAGATCGAAAACAGGCCACAGACTGGCGCAAGTTACGAACTCATTCTTTCCCTAGCCCTGCTCAGCTACACAGAATGTCTCCAGCAGTTTACACAGACTCGATTTGTACAGCCTGTAAAGTAGAAATGGCCTCCCTAAGCCAACTGCGCTGGGAGTGTTCCAAGAAGCAGACTCACCAGAACCTCTGCGATGGCGTACAATGCTGCTCAGCTACGAACTAGAAGGACTGACCTGGGCTATCCAGCAGGCCACGGAGGCTATTGGGAGACAAGGTATTCCATCCTCCATCTGAGCAGTCTGGCCCGGACCAGCAACTAGCCGGATTTCACAATAAAGCTGTTTCATTCACCCTGTAAATCGTGTCGGCGGGAAAGGAATCCAGCGAAGGTGCGTGAAGTGTTGGCGTAATAAACGGGACTTCGTACATTCTCGGGCTTTAATAAACAGATTCGAAAGGTTTCAATGCCGGGGACCCTAAGCGGTTTGCGTACCGTAGGTTCTGCATGTTTTTTTTTTTTTTCTTTTTTTAAAGGGCGAAGCTTCTTAACCCGTGGGTCGTGCGTCCCCGATGTATGAGTAGTAGTAGCAAGTAGCCGCTTCTCGTTTAGTCCTTGGAATGTCCGCTAGATGCTAGATGGCGGTACTTGTATATGAATATATAATGAAGAGATGTGAAATGACGGTACTTGGCGTGTTCACTAGATGGACGCTTCGCCCCGCTCATCATCATTCACTCAACGGATATGTTGGCTGCGATTTTTTTTTTCTGACCCCGCTTTTTTGTTCGCCAGCCGCACCCAACTTCTCAGAAATACACTCGTCCCGTGCAATCTCCAGTTTCCCAAAAGCGCCGACATGTTGTTGGACTAAGAAATGCCGTCGTAGCGTGGGGACGTAGACGCTTGGAAGAGGACATGAAAAGGCCTTAGCCGACTCGTTGTTGGTCCAACGGGAGTATAAAAGAACGTTCGAAATTCTACGAGGTGTTTTTGCCTGGGCGTTTTTTAACTCGAAATGAAAATATTCTTGGTATATAATCAGGTAGAAATTTTCGCGTCGCGCATTACCGTACAGTTGCGACTGTTATTTATTTTGTACGTAAATGAAGCAAAGTAAGGGCACTGTACGGTGCTTGATATGTCATGTGTGTTTGGTAGCAGTGTATATACATGCACCTATAACGAAACATTGATGTGGACATGTATATGTCACATATATGCAGCCACAACCCCATAGTTTATCCTCTTGGAACTTTAAAAATATCTTAAAATGCGTCGGCCGCTCTTGCTCTACAACTTACAGCATCGCTGTGTGTCGACACGCGCGCTTTTTGTTTTTTATTTGCCAAAGTCGGGTTTCTAAGACGTTCCTTTCGACGCAGTACATGCGCGACTTCGTATATATATGCCTCGCAAGGACTCTGCGAGGCGCAAGGATGTGTCGTGGTTTCGCGCCCATAGTTTTACTAGCCATGCAACGAAACTGCATTCCTCAATGAGGATGTGCCTAATTAAACCACATCACGCACAAATTCCGTGTTACGTTTTCTGTGTCGCTCCTGTGGTTTGTGAGCGCGGAGCAAAATACAGAAAGCGGGGAGTCTATAGCTAAATAACAAGCTTAATAAGGCAAAACTTGTGAGAAATGGTTTTGGTGCAAGTTAAAAATTATATTAGGTATTTTAGTTAGAGAACATTAGTCTACTTAAAATTGAAGTCACGTAACTGTCTATAATCAATGAAAATTGAATGAGTTTATTGAAAAAGCGGATGGTTTAGTTGTTAGCATAGAGTTTCCCAATATACACTAGAGGGAACTCTGGCGCTGTGTCTATGGGAGCTGCAATGCACGGCGCTTTAGCGAGCATGAGAATGATGGGTAGTACACACATTTGTCTAAACTTCGTACTTCTGGCCTGCTTTTGGCTCCGTGTGTGTTCGTGTGGCTTGAAGCTGTTTTCTCACGAAACAAAAATCGGCAAATGTTCAGCGATTGCGCTTCACCACCCTATTTTTTTTTCAATTACCTTTCCAAATTGGGTCACGAAGTTCAAAAGGGTTGAATCTTTCTTTCAAAACAAAATCAAAACACAGCAATAAACGAAGCCGCAAGTACGAAGACTATAGGCAAATGTGTGTACTACCCATCATTCCCATGGTCGCTGAACGATCGCAGCGCCAGAGTGCCCTCTATTTAATTTTGAAAAACTCTATGGTTGTTAGTATAGTTCACTATAGTTGTAAGTAACTGGGATAGCGCGGCGCCTGGCGGAGCATATCTGAATCACGCGCTTACTTTCAAGTGGCCTTTGGGATCCGTTTCTACTGCTTGCGAACCAAGAAATAAAAGGAACCATTG